CCCCCCCACCCACGACATCATCAGGGTCCCCATCAATGATGTCATCACCCCCCCTGAGGTCATACTCCCCTCACCTCTTCCTCCTCTTCCTCCTGCTCGTGGCCAGGGGGTGTCCTGGGGGGGCTCTGGGGTGTCCCGGGGGAGCTCGGGGGGGTCCCGGGGGGGCTCTCAGGGTCCCCCCCGGGCCGGGCCGTGGCCAGGGCGGTGGCCAGGGCAGGGCCCCTTCGGGCCAGAGCCCCCCGGGCCCCCCCCCCCCCCCCCCCGTGCCCCCCCCCCGCGCCCGGGAGAACAACGTCAGCAGCTCCCGGCTCACCTGGAACGGGGAAACTGGGATGGACTGGGACGGACTGGGACGGACTGCGATGGACTGGGGGAGTTACTAAGACATAGTGGAAAGGACCACGGGGTGCCAGGAGGGAGAAAAAAAGAGCACTGGGAGAGCACTGGTTTATACTGGGAGAGGACTACGAAGCACTGGGAGCACTGAGGGATGGGGTAGGAGCCTGGGGATGAACTGGGCTGTACTGGGAGCGCCTGGGCATGAACTGGGCTGTACTGGGAGCGCCTGGGGGACAAACTGGGCTGTACTGGGAATGCCTGGAGCAGTGCTGGGCAGCTGCTGGGAGGCCCTGGCCCATACTGGCCCACATTGGTCTGTACTGGTCTCACCTGCTCCAAGCTGCCGTCCTCCACCACGGTGTCGAACTCGTTGTCCATCACCTCAGCCAGGAAATCCTCCACCTCCTCCTGCTCCAGGTCAGCTGGGGGGGCCACAGGGGGGGTCACCCCTGTCCCTTCCCCCACCCGGTCCCTCCCCCCCATCCCTGCCTCCTCCGGGGTGGGGGAGGGGCGGCACCCACCGTTCTGGGTGAAGAAATCGAGCAGGGCCGAGCGGAGCCAGGCGGCCTTTTCGGTGCCCTGCGGCCCCCCAAAGCCCTGGGCCACGGCCAACTGGGGGGGACACGGGGACACTCATGGGGACACCCCAGGAGGGACACGGGGGGCCCCCAGCGCTGCCTCTCCCACCCAGATCCCCCCAAACGGCCTCCCCCGTGTGTCCCCCTCCATGTCCCATCCCCCCAGCCTGTCACAGCCCCCCAGTGTCACCCTGTGGGTCCCCCCCGTGTCTCCTCCCAGTGCCACTCGTGTCCCGCTCGTGTCACCTCCAGCGTCCCCCCCTCTCCCCGGGTGACCCCCCGTGTTCCCAAAGCCCTCCCTCACCTGCAGCGCCGCCCACCCCCCCAGCACGGCCCCCACGCCCTCCGCGAACAGCGCCCGGGCCTCCGCCGCGGAGGCCGCCATGACGGCGCTGCGCAGGGCGCGCGGCCGAGCGCCGAGTCACCGATCGGAGCGGGGCCGTCGGGCGACGGTCGAGCCGCCGATGGCGGAGGGGGCGTGGCCAAGGGGGAGGCGTGGCCAACGCCAGCGTCCGACCGGGACTACAACTCCCGGCAGCCCCCGCGCGACCGCGGTCACGTGACGCGGTGAGGGGCGGGGCCGGCGGGGGGGCAGGGGGGGCCCTGGGGATGCGGGGGGTGATGGGGGGGAAGGGGGGTCGGGGGGTTCAGAGGGGCTGCAGCAGGTGCGGAGGGGGCACGGGGGGGCCGGGGGGGGATAGAGAAGGTTGGGGGGCTATGGGGGGGGGG